ATATATTTTGTTTTCAGGTCAGGAGTTTAGAGCCAAGACGGTGCAAGAACTAATGAAGAAACATGACGTAATATATTCACCCACACAAAATGAGACAAAAGCGAGTACATCCGAAAGGTAAAACTTATTATTTGTACTAACATTAAGATATTTTTCATTATTTAGTGTAGTTTTTTAATGTTGACTTGAATAACTATTTAATTATATGTAATGTAAATCTAATGTAAATATATTTTTTCTTGTATCTTGTAGGGCCATTCAAACAATAAAAACGAGAATAATGCGCTACCTGAACTACAAAGATAATTACACGTTTTTACCAATTCTTGATGACATCGTGGAAAGTTATAATCAAACGTTTCCATAACAATTGGAATGAGACCCATTGATGTGAAGGAAACCAATCAGGAGGAAGTTAGATTATCCACGTACTTTACACAAAACAAAAACAAAGGAAAAGGGAACATTAAATAGAGACCCTTCAAATTTAAGATTGGTGATTATGTACGGATCAGTCATCTGCGCACTGTGTTTACGCGAGCGTATGATGAAACCTACACTGGAGAAGTGTTTCGGGTTTACACACGTTATCACAGAGGTACATTGCCTATTTATCGTCTTCAGGACATGCAACAAGAAGAAATCAAAGGTACATTCTATGAAAGCGAGTTACAGAAAAGTTATGGAAAATAGAGAAAATATTAAAATCCCGAGGAAACGTCAAATGGAAAAGTTTCCCGTCTAAATTTAACAGTTGGATAAAAGCTTTGGACTTAAATTAACGTTTTTGAGTTTATGTGTAAAATACTTAATATTGGGATGAAAGCTTCGGCCTTAAATTAACAATACTTTGTGTGTTTGTGAGTTTATGTGTAAAATATTTACTATCTAAAAAATTATTACTCTATTAATTGTATTTACATGTTATAAATTGTACCATGAAAAAGAGAAAAAACGTTTGTAAATAAATGTAAATATGTAAACACCGGCTTGTTTTGCTTATCACTGATATAACAACTAGTAGTCTGCTCTGTAGTTTAAACCGATTTTGACTCTCCAGCAGGTAGAGGTTAAGTGGGCGAAAAATACATCCAATACACTGTATTGTGATTTGACTGGCTAATGGATAGTCACTTTTTGTAATATTGTGAAAAAATGTAATAAAGTTTTACCTTTGTCCGTATGAATGGGTTTCGCTCTTTATCTGTCAATATATAAGGTTTATTGCCTCGATGTGTATCTATCGGTGGTTACAACACAAGTAAAATTAAATTATTGGAGAAAGGGTTAAATATCATAAACGGGTAAAAGATGTTGCGCCCGACAGCGCATTATTCAGTTTAACGGACTATAAAAAATGGGTCGTCTGCTGTATACTGTCATAACCTAAATACAAAAATAAACTTGCGCAGCAGTGCATAAATGGCGGATAAATCACGCCGCGCTTGAATGGTTCCGAATTTATACTAAAAAAATGTGGTCTATCCTTCGGCCCTTGACTACTTCAAGATATAAAATACATATGAAAAAAATGTGCACAATCCACGTTTTTGGAAAGGTATGAATTTTTTTCTAACAAAGCCTTTAATTGAATATCATCTGTCTGAAACAAGTGACTTTTGACTTTTCACATATTGTTTGTCACGTGGTCTGTGGGAAATTCGTACTTTATATATATCTGTTGCATATTATTACTCTTGATCTCATCCCCTAATAGGCTAGGCAATTTAGTAAATATTTAGACCCAACTTAAAATAAATTCCTTCAGAAATAATAGATATTTGCATATTTGTTATCACTATATACATGTTGCTACATGGAAAAAAAAACCTAAGTATAAAATGCTCAAAATGTCATGTCTTGAAATAATATGATTTTGTTTAAATTAAAAAAATCTATGGAAATAAAAAAAACCAAAACATTTTTATACACAAACATGTTTTTTAAAATACAAAATACTTAAACAAAAGTTCGTTACATTACTACACTGCATATCATTCAGACTGGTATAAAACATTACCAAACCACATTCGTCAAAATTGTGCATATTACTTCCTGTTTGTGAATTCTTTGCATTTAGTAGGAAGACATGGAAGTTATGGTATGCTGCTTTTAACTTTTTTAAATTTTAATTTTCCTTGACATTTTTCAGATAATACTTAATTATTTATTCTCAAAATGTTTACTGCATTTTAATCATTGATTATTTGTTTTGCTTTCTTGAAATAAACAAAAAATTGAAATCGAAAGTAATACAAATGAAATATTGATAAATCTTTTCTCAAAATCGTCACTGCAAAGTATCATCGATAGGTGTCATCATGTCAAGACTGATGTTATTATCAATAAACATATAGATTTCTCGATTAAACGAAACAATTTTCCTGAATAAGTTACATGATATTATTCTATAATTTCAAAATAAATGTAAAAATCGATATTTCATTGCGAACTTGACGTATGTGATATATGAATGGCCTTAAATTTTGAGAATAATCTCTTAAGGTATTACCATCCTAATGCATTACCTCCGCTTTGAAGAGTATTCAAATAGGCTAGAACTACTGTTATCTACATTGAAAATGAGGGCCGTGGGTTCAATCCCCAGAAAGGTCAACATTTCATATATTTATTTATGTATCTCTCATGTCCCATTTGGAAAGAAAAAAGTTGATTTTTTTAAATTTATATAGGTATTAATTGGCTAAATTATGCTGAATCTAGTAATAAATATGGTACTTGATATTTTCAAAGTGTAATAAAATCAAACTAGACGGTAGTATTTCATATTTTACAAGATCAAACAATATACTTCTTTAAAAATTCTGAAAACAGGTAAATTTTAAGGACTTTTTAAATTAGGCTCCCTCAGTATGAAAATGGTCAGACACGTGGTAAAATGGGTGGGGTAGGGTAACATTTTTATACAGAGTTAATAAATTTTAAGTAGAAAGTTTGCTTATGTGGATTGTTAGCTGGTACTATTTGTTTCTTACCAAAATTTAATGGGAAAGCATTTCATTAGAATGTTATTGCAGATTATTTAAAGGTTCCTCATTTCTAAAATGGACCCTGATAACAGCCTAGCTTGAGTTCAGAAAAGTGGCCATAACTTGATTTCCATACGGTAAACTTTGTTTAAAGTTTGCATACAGGTGTACTTTAATGTATATATCTGACCTATAATGTCAAATTTTTAGTTTCTTATAGTGCCCATTAGGGTAGTAATACCTTAAGTAATCAAATGTTATTATTACATATTTGAGTAATATTTGCGCCTTATTTTTCATTACAATTTATATCTGTCACCTGTATTTTATCCAAAAATAAAGTACACTCCAATTTAAGAAAATTATCAGAATTATATAAATTATGTACATTTAATTAATAAAGTTGGTATTTCGCCGATAGATAAACATGTGATTTTTTTTTCATTTTTCATTCGTCAACAGAATGCTGCAACTTTTTACAAACTATGCAAATAGATATATAATCGATATCTGACTCATACCACAGTTTACAAAACAACAACAATAGAAAAAACAAACAAAAACAAAACAAAACACTTTTAATGACTATATAAACGGATTTAGGTTATCGGACAGTTTTGTACCTGTAAAACACACTAAAAAAACTAACAACATAAACATTGATATGAATCGTGTATACATACGAATCAACAGGTTAATGTTTGGGAAATTTGCAATTTAGGACAATTACCTAAGCGTCCTGCATAAATAAAAGCCAAAACGGAATGTCTTGTGAAGTATTATACGTAATGCATTTCAGTGCAAAGCGGGAGATGTAGCTGAGAGGAAATAGAAAAAGCAATATTAAGTCAATCGAAAGTTTTGATTTAAAGTAAATAAAAAGAATTTGCAATATCATTTATTTGTAAAATAGGTTGCTGACGGAGTTCAGACTATGTACATGTAGTTTAGACAGTGCATTGAATCAACAGTTAATTAATGCTCGATCGACTCTTACCTGCAGTATTTCATTTTCTTGAACGAGTTTATATCATTGATCATCTCAGTTTATATACGAGACTGTATGTTAAATGCACATAAAATTGTGTATGCCTTACATAGCTTTTTGTAAAAGTTCGCTTCACAGAAACGTATTTTTTCATTTTTCATTTCAATCAACATTTACATGTACGTTGTTAAATGTAAATTTTACCCTTTGTTCTTATTTCATTCAATATATCTGGTTTCCTGGTGTCCCTAAATGTTTTGTTGACCAAACATCTGAAATTAAATTTATATTTTACATAGGCTTCCAATTCGTAGAACACAACAAACAGACTTCTTGTTGGAGCGATAGACTTTTGAACGACCTTCTCCCGCTGGGCCTTTTCTTTTAAACATGACTATGATTTGGATCCGACAAAAGCTACGACAAAACATTGGCAGTCGAAATCAGGTACATTAGTGACAGAAACAACACCAACGAATATAGGGAATTACTTGATAAAGAAGAAGAAGAAAATATTTCTTCTTTACACGATTCAAAATGGATCTCTATAGTAAGATGGGCAAAGTACGTTTTTATATATCTTGATATTCTTTATCAATTTCCAAATATAAAGAAAATAACTATCCTATACACGACTCCTCCTTTAAGGCTGTGTCAACCAAATATTTATTGAACGATCATCATCAAGTGCCGGTATGCATATTGTCGGGGTTTTGTGATGCAATCACAATTGGCAGGAAACCCTATGGGACAGTAATTAATTCAATAAAGCTATACTTAAAACAAAGGTCAATTGTTAGTTGACACTCGCAAAAAGTGGATACTTTATCTTCACTACATCTCAGTGATTTTAGATTTTTCTCCTTTTTAAAGAAAAAGAATATTTTCTGTTATTTTTTCTTATTTTCTTCTATTTCATGACAATATTATTAGGACACTCAGAAGACAAATGATTTGGACATTACTTTAAACTTTTGGCGTGTTTACGACCTGTCGCCCCCGCTAATTTCTTGATTTTTATTTACTGCCAAAAATAAATCCTTGTAGTCTTAAGTTAAGATTAAGTTTTTATTCTAGGTCACAGTGTTCTTTTTAAATTAATTATGTGATAAGATACTTGTTTTCTTCATCAAGAAAAAATATGAATCAATATTTTTATTCATTGTAATTTGAAAGAAAAACCTTCATTACATGTTTAAATATTATTCCAGGACGTAAAACGAGACATGACAATCGAAGGCGAATTTGGCAGACCTCTTTTAGCAGCTGATATCTTTGGAATGTCAGTCAAGTTCTTGGTAGATGATATGCTGAATAATGCTAGCAAGGCAATAAATGGCATCATTAAACCGTCTGAAATTCACCTTGTTTTAACAGTTCCCGCAATATGGTCCGATTCTGCTAAACAATTCATGCGTGAAGCTGCTGAAAAGGTAACAATGTAAACTTTAACGTGGACATTTATACCAGTAATTCTCATGGGCAAGTTTTTCCCCTTCGAATGATATCATTTTGTCAGAACTTAATTAGGCAGTAAGAGTGAGGAAAATTACTCCCATTTTGTCATTATTGAAAAAACTCTTATTACATTAAAATCCGTATCAAAATGAAATAGTGTCTCTTTAGATATTCTACATATCTTCTATCATCTAAATCTAGTAAACGCTATGTGATCGGCACAAATTAGCATTCAGTTCTTTTTAACTTCTTTTAATCATGTTAGTTAGCAAATAATAAATCGAACCATAATTGTTAAATACTTTCTTAGGCTGGTATATGTAAAGAACAGCTAACAATCGCACTGGAACCTGAAGCGGCTTCGTTGTATTGCAGGCATGTTCATATCCATAAACCTGGTGAGCTTGGCAATGTATCCATGGACAAGCTACCAATGGGCACCAAATACATAGTCGTTGATGCAGGAGGTATAGTTGAGTTTACTTCGATCATATACTTAAAATTGAAAAAAAAAAACATTAAAAATTCAAATACTATTTTCGGTATTTATTTTAAAACTTGCTATAACTTATTGTTTTAGGCATTGAATGAATAGAAATGAAGAAAAACATGGACGTTTTAAAACTACCTGTGAACATAAAATTATAGTGCTATGAACATTATGACATTTTTTATCGATGGTATCATATGTGAAATACATGACTGCTTTATTTTATAGGTGGAACAATAGACATAACAGTGCACGAGACTGGAAGTGAGCCTACATTGAGAGAAGTAAAACCTGCGAGTGGTGGGGATTGGGGAGGTATAATGGTTGACAAGGAATTTGAAAATTTGCTTATACGTATAGTAGGACAAACTGTTTTTGAAAAATTCAAACACGAAGAAAAGGAGGATTGGATTGACATGCAACGAGACTTTGAGTCTCGGAAACGAGAGACGATCGTAGATAGTGAAGGTAAAATAGGGATGAGAATACCTGCAGCACTAATTGATCTTTACAATCAAGACTCACAGCTTGACCTCTGTACTTCATTAGTATCTTCTCAGTATGCTGGTCTGATTGAGCTTAAAAGAGATAAGATGAAGATTTCTAACAAAGTCTTTGTTAAACTATTCGACGCGTCAGTGACAAAGACGGTTGGTCATCTGAAGTCAGTGCTGTCCGACCGCTCACTGAAAGATGTGAGAGTTTTACTGATGGTCGGTGGATATTCAGAATCACCGGTTTTACAACACGCAATAACAGAAGCATTGCCGGGAATTGAAATCGTTATACCTGTCGGCGCTTCATCAGTCGTTTTAAGAGGTGCTCTGATATATGGACATAATCCATCTTCAATAAGTGAAAGGATTCTCAAATATACCTACGGCACTAATTACACACCTCTTTTTATAGAGGGAGTTCATCCAGAGAACAAACGATATAAAGATACAGACAATAGAAATAGATGTCGTGATGTCTTCAACAAACTTGTTACAACTGGACAAACAGTGAAAATGGGAGAAACACAAGTAAAGGAAATATATTCTACAGTTTCAAGTGAACAGAGGTTTATGCCGTTTAAATTAATTGCGTCAGAGAGAGAAGATCCTGTTTACTGCGATGATGATGGATGTTTTGAGATAGGAGTACTTGTGATAGAGTTTGATGAGGAAAGTAGTACAAGTAACAGAGTGGTTTCACTATCTTTGTTATTTGGTGGAACAGAAATCGTTGTTGAAGTAGAAGACAAATGTACTGGTAAGAAAAAAATAACCTCTGTTGACTTCCTTGGGTAAAATAGTAAAACATTTTGGAAAGGAGAATGAAAAGAAAAAAAAGAGTGTCAAACATTACAACAATGCTGTTTAAACATATTTTAAGACAGCAATTTGTCTGGTCCTTCGGGATAATTTATTAAAGCATAATAAGTGTGAAAGATATTGAATTATACTTAAGACGGCTGGTTCTAAGGCGAATGAGAGATGCCGCTGCTTTTTTCCATTAACCCTCATTAACAGATTTTATCAAACTCAGTTTGCAATTTTCATGTTGATTTCATTGCTTCCAAGTGATTGTGTCTTTTTCGAATTTAATAGTCATCACAAATGAATGGAATATCCATTTTCCCTTATATAATTTCTTTTATAAGAATCTCAATAAGATATATGATTCAATCAATATAAAATAGAAGATAAAACAATGGCATTGATATATGGGACCAATCAAATATTAGATTTACTAGAGACTTATAAAATACTAATAACTATTTATAGACACAAATCAGTATCTATGAGTGTGTCTTAATTGTTATTGTTAATAATAGATCTCATGTCTTAATCAACAGACCGTAACAATTGAAATTTTGAGAAATAAAGATGGAATGAATTGCGTATTTTCATTTTCTGTACTTTCATTGTAAATTTTTTATTTTTATTTCGATGAAACATATTTTCCATATTTTCACAGTTGTTTTGTCGACTTTAAATTTAGCTACAACACAAAATTAAAGGGGTAGTCTTTCGGTAAGTATGGTAAAAAATGCTATAAAAACGGGATTTATTTTCGTCTTGCGGTATGAAAATAATCATGGTTACCGCCACTCGTGAAATTCGTATTTCCATACCACTCGACGAAAATAAATCCTGTAGTTATAGAAAAACATTGAATATTTATTTCTAATATAAAAGCCAAATGTCTCTGAAATCATACACTTTGAAATACAATTTTGAAAGTAAGGACGATTTTTTTATTCTATATTAATTAATAAAGTAGAAATAGATAAGACGAATTTAAATGCTAATTCTATAATTGTTTAATGATAGCTATATTTTTATAATACCCAAAGCTAATGTGTAAAACCTTAAATAATTCTTTTACTATTTTTGTGGAGGGTGCTTTTTCTACAAGCAATTAAAAACCAAACCTGCATCTAATCTGTACTGAAATGTTTTGAAAGGGTTATTTTTGAATGTAAGTGGGACAATTTAGCCAACAGTCATTATGACACTTAAATAAGAACTCCAAGTTAGACCTTTTTATCAACAATTATTGTATCATAACTTGTACAACTTTAACAAAGTTGATAATATGTCGTAGTGTATGCATCTGTTCCGCTTCTTGTACCTCATTATAGTACCATGTAACGATGTCATATTGAATTTGACCCCGGTGATAATGTCTGGCCTCAGGCTGAAATAATCTACAAAACTGCTGTGATTCAGGCCAGATTCATATATATTGAAATACCAAACCCTGCTAAAACGTTTAGAAAAAAACAGCATAAGTTTACCTTTAGAAAAGTCTTCCAATTTTCCATTATTTGACCCTTTTTAAAATTTGAATATTTATCAGTTTTATGTTAAATAAGATACGAGCAGTATGGCGGCTGTAACAACTCTAATTTACATTCAATCAAAGATCCTAGAAGCTCGTTCAACATAACATTCTTGTTGTGTTTGTGGTATTTCAAGTAATTCAGCGGTGATCCAACATCAAGTGATACCCTTTTTAAAATCATAAAGACTACCGTTTTACATAAATTATTAAAAAGAGACACTTACTTCGTTGAAATAAAATATGAAAAATCGGTTGTTAACAAATAAATATTACAAAAGTATTTGCTTTTCATGATCATTCGTGATAATGACAACCTAGCCACATAATTGAAAGCTTCTTTTTTAAATAGTACCAGAACGCATATAAAACCTTTTTGTTTTCGGAATACCTGAAAAATTTGCCTAACTACTAGGGTCATGTAATAATAAAAAGAAGCAGAATAAAAACATTTCAAAATATGATTTGGAGGAATCAGCGTTCCCTTTGAGCTTCATTCGGCAAGGCGGATGTACCTAATAGAGATAATAAGAATTAAGATAATTTGCTTCCTATCAGCATACCCAGTTTACCATGTAGACCTAGCAATTCGGCAAATGTCTAAGGAATGCAAGAAATTGAGTTCTATCATATTCTTGATTGAGTTCTATCATATTCTTGATTGTACTACTTCATTAAGGTAAAACTCCAAAGGAAAAGTAGTCGTTTTTTTAAAAAAAAAAAACTGAATCACAAAGCATGGACTTCTATGGGTTTTTGTCATGAAAGCTGATTATAATGTCCTAGCAGCCAAATGACGAATGTCAAAATATGTAAACAATATTTCGCGCATTTAATTACTCAGCCGTATTACTACCAGTTAGTATGAATGATCTGAATAATAAATAAAGCTAAAATATGAAACCTGCATAATTTTTCACGATCAAACGATTCATCTTAATCTATCCTTATTAATTTGTCAAACTATACAGTATATTTTGCATATTACTTCTAATCCAACTATTCATTTATACATTATCTATTAGTCTGTAAAAATATTTAACTACTTAAGTTTTTAATTAATTCATATAAAGATTGTTTTTTTTTCTTCTAATGAACGCCTATATAATATACATATGAAGAAACTATGAAATTCAGTTGTATAAAGGGAAATAACGTGATAATCTTTCACACATGTAACATGTGTATTATCCTAATCTATTACACAGAGCATGCAGAAAATAGGTTATTATTTAAATTTAAATTTAATTATTCATTTTTTCTACGATTATAACTATAATTACACTATGCTTCATTTTCTCACATGATAATATTTTACTGGAGAAATTCACTTCAGCAAAATATTTTAGTCTTAAAGTTTTACGTTTTGCCAGTGAAGTATTACAGTTAATCAAACATACTTTCATGTTGCTACTATAGTACCTTTTGGGCATGTGTATATTGTTTTTAGCAAATCAATGTTTTTTTGGTGTTTTCTTTATTGTTTATATTGTTTGTTTGTTTAGTTTGTATATTTGTTTTTTTTGTTGTTATTTTCGCTGATGCATGAAGTAATTTGATTATTAACTATGTTGTAACTTTTATTGTGCTTAGACATAAAATACAATTGGTACAAGTTTCTTGTGTTTCGTTTATTTTTTTAAATTATTTTAATTGCACGTAGTGTGTAAATGTACACATTTATCACACATATTATTTCTTGGACAAAATTCGCAAAACGAATAGCAGTTGTACTGTGCCCTTATATATGAATGATATAGTAGCTTATTGATCGGCTATTGAGCTGTTTAATAATGAAAGACAACGGTTTAAGAATCGTGTACAGTTTAAAGTTAAATTTTTCAAAAACTCGTTATATCGTTAGCTAATGAAGTATTACATTACATTTAACTTTTGGAGTTTAATATAGCTGAACTACAACACATTAAAAGTAATTTCGGTGTTGCATCTTCTGTCATTTTTTTGGTATGCAATGACAGCAGTCAAAGGGAGATAACAAGCCATTATTACCTGTTGACATTAAGTTGAATTTGTTTATAATTGTACATCAATCGGCATAATTTAATCAAAAATGGTTGTCAGAATTATTTCCAATCACAATTGTACCGGGACAGACTATATGTTCCTTTAGATGTCAAATATATACATTCGTCTTACATTATCGAAGATTACACTCTCTGTATCTATTTACATCTGAAACCACGTGGTAGAACTACTTTCACTGTGAGATTATTATGAATAATAGCCGAGGATGTTCTGATTGGGTAGACGTACCCAACATCCATTGAGTGGGAGACTGGAATGATTTGCAGTTCAGTAGATCCACAGATTTTTGCCATATCTGATTACAGAAGTCTGAACCACATTTCTCATTGCTTACGAGACCAAATCGTGATAATGCATGCTCTGATGCTGTAACTAAGTCACAGTTTGGGTTTTGAATTGAATCATATTAAGGTCAGGTAACCATGTCTACTTGAAGATCTTCTCTGAATATTGAGGCCATCTAGGTGTACATAGTATGCCATGTAGTAGAATGCTGACGTTTACCTTTTAGTGATATTGTACGAAGCATGGTGCAGTTTTCTATGTTGTTTTTTTTTTCCAATCGGAAAATGTACTAGTAACTAATTGAAACAAATAAGAATGACTATGAATACTGAATATGCTAAAATTAAAGTTTTCATTGCAAAATGTTCTCCTATCTAATTTGATGATTTGACCATTGATATTTTATACGCACGTTTATATTGTGTGTATTTGGCTCTAAGCATGTGCATATGTATTCATAATCTTATAAAGGGCTCATAAATTATCTTATAAACTGGGAAATAAATCAGCAGCACTTGACATGTTATACCAAGTGAATATTTACTATCGCCACATTGGTTTGTGTCTTATTTTGCCAAGGATATACGTTAACAAAACTAAAATGAAAGAATCCAAAGTCCCTGTCGGGATTCGAACCCACAGCGGTGAGGGGGAAGTGATTTGAAGTCAACGACCTTAACCACTCGGCCACGGACGCCCCTCACTCTAAATGAAACTTACCAAGGGAACACAAAAATATATCAAGTTTTGTTTTTAGAAAATTGGGCATACAAAATATGTTACTGTTGTTCTTTGTAGTCTTCAATGTGGCTAATTTGTGTTATGTCAAATGTACGCTACGCTCGGCATCAAACGAAAACACGATAAAGCAAGAGTTTTGTTGTACTTTTGCTCCATAGGGGCAAGGCGCATATACGATAAAACGACAAAGCCACCATTTTGTCGTATTCTTGTTTGATTTTGGCTAGCGTCCCGCCAGAGCTGCATCAGTACTAAGGGTGTAGTACTTAAGTACCAGTACCAGTACTTGGCAAATTATGCAGTACCATTACCAGTACCAGTACTAGATTTTAGCTCGGTACTGCAGTACCAGTACTTTTTTTGCTGAAGTAATTAAGTATCAGTACCATTACTTTTATATATTCATCAAAGTTTGAATAAATACAGTGTCAAACAAATAATTGCAAATATTATTCAGCAAAGAAATAAAATCATAATTTACTTTAAAGCTGCATGCCTCCAGATGACCCAAAATATTTCAAGAAAATTAAACTTGGAAAAAAATTACTAAAACTTTGAGAAAAGTAAACAAATTAAAGATTTAAGTGATAATTTATATCTTATGTGCAATTAATGACTGTATTTTGTAGTATTTATCACTATATTTCTACTGCGTTACTAACGCAGTTGGAGCTATTTATGTATGTTTTGACCTCTTTTTTGGTAATTTACGTGGATTTTAAGTGCCGATTGTAATGTGTCAAGCACTTTCTTTGTTCATTTAACAATATTTTACCTTTAAATACATTTTCAAAATTTTCATGAAAATAAGGATGAATCTGGAGGCGTGCTGCTTTAAAGTTAACATAACATATTTACAACTTTACAGTTTTAACATACTTTTTACAAACAATATTTACAACATATATTCATGTCATATCTAATTGTTTAGTAACCAGTCAACTGTATAAATACAATGCAAACATCTTTCATTTAAAACACAACAGTCTTTTGTTGCCTTTCACACCTTCACACCTCTGTTCAATTTATACCAAAGTAAATAACAACTTTTTATGGTGCTAACAATATCACTTTTTTCACTTGAAATGGGATTTTTTAGAATAGAAGAAATTAATTAGTGTTTATTTTGCTCTTTTACTAGTAAATACAAAGTAATACAATATTTTAATAAGGATATTTTAGGGTAAAGAATTATTGAGTCTGGTTATCTTAATTTAATTTTTACTTAAAGTCTTTGGTGCTTTTTATGATGAATACTATGTTAACATTTAAAGGAATATTGCAGCAAATTATCTTTATATTTGATAACTTACTTTTTCACAAAAATAAAATATAGTTAATGTAATTTACAGCTTTATTTTATGAGAAAAATTGATGTTATTTTTGATTTTATCAAAACCAAAAGTACTGGGTAATGCAGTAGCAGTACCACTTTTTAAGACAGTAATGCAGTACCAGTACCAGTAGTAGCAAAATTTTGTAAGAGTAATTCAGTATCAGTACCTGTACTTGCAAAATCACTGCAGTACATACTGCAGTACCAGTACCAGTACCAGTAATGCAGCTCTGCGTCCCGCTAAGCGAAAGTATCGCAAATTCGCCATTTTCTTGTTTTCGTCTGGCGCTCCGCGGAGCGAAAGTACGACGTGGCACCAATCAGCCACCAAAGCATTGCATATTTTATTGTATACTATAGATATACATTGAATGGGTTCTTAATGTATACATATTTTAGACCTATTTCAACTAATAGTACTGGACACTAAGTCTAGTAAAAAACAACAGTTTCTAAGATGGCAACTATAGGACAAAAGAAAATAGCATACAATTGGAATGAGACCATCTTTCATCGTATGTTATATAAACATTTTGATCATTATCTATATTTCAGTTTGTGTTTTTGAGCATAATGATAAAGATTATATATTTTAAAAAATAAACAAACAGCGTGAAACAGTATAAACATTTAAATGTTTGTTTTTGTTTGTTGTTTTATTTCAATTCTCAGTAAGAAACACATTTTTCTTATAAGCACAACAACATTCAAAAATTGAATAAGTAAGAGAAATACTTTAGAATTTTTATATTTTTGTTTGAATGGTATTTCTGGGCGTTATATTTTGAAAATACTTGATGATTAATTCATAACTATTTAAGTTTCTACAAATATAAATGACTCTAATAAAGAAAATATAAAGTATTCGCAAATCTCAGAGTAAGTTCCAAAAATCATAACTAGAGTGAAGCAACGTGAAATTTACGTAAATCATTTTTGAAGCATCATATACATGTCATGTAGACAATAGTTCAACAATTGTTCATACAAGGCTTATATTTTCGGCCAATTTCAACTTTGGGTGGTTCCAGTATTCCTACTTCAATACTGTATAATCACCCTTAAGATATGTTGCCTGCTTTTTAAATTTGTCTTTTGACGTCTTATCTGTAATATGCAGGCTTCATAACCTCAGATCCTCTTTCAAAATTCCATTTTATTTAGTTCTGCCCATTGTTTTTTTCGTTTAGGGCCAAAGCATTCTTTTACTTGGGGACCATACGCCGCTTTTCATGGAATGGCACGCCTGTGTCACATTGAAAGTTCCATTGAAGGTTACATTTGCAAGAAAACAATTCTACATAGTAAACATTTATTTACAAATGGAAATATAGAAATTATTTATTTAATGATATAAAAATATGACAAGTGTACATAAATGGGTTTCAACCAAAATAATATACTCCGTTTTGCAAATATTACATAAATGAATTAAATAAAGCATAACGTTAAAACTAAATACAGATATTTCAATAAGTTTTGTATTATCTATCGTGTCTGATTTGTACCATTCGTGTTTTCGCCAGGCTTTCGCCAAGCAAAAGTCGAAAATAAACAAGTTAAAATGGCTGGGGCGCGCAGCGAAAACACGCTAATTAGCGAGGGCGCGGGGCGAAATTTAATAAATAAAACCCTGCCCAGCGGGGACGAGGAGCGAGATTTAAAATAATAAACGGCTAAGTCGCGGGACGAAAACACGCTAATTAGTGGGGGCGCGCGGCGAAGTTTTATTTCTTAAACTTCGCCCCGCGACCCCACAAATTAGCGTGTTTTCGTCCCGTGATCACGCCAAGCGAAAAGTCGACAATTAACATGGAAGGGGTAGGTAGCGAAATCACGCTAATTAGCGAGGCCGCCGGGTGAAGTTTGATAAATAAAATTTCGCCCCGTGGAAGCGCGGAGCGAGATATAAGAAATAAAACGGCAGGGTCGCGGGACTTAAACACGATAATTAGCTTGAGCGCGGAGCGAAGTTGAATAAATAAAACTTTGCCGCGCGCCATCGATAATTAGCGTGTTTTTGTCCCGCGACTCCGCCAAGCGAAAAGCCGATTATTTACAAGATGAATGGCGGGATCGCTAAGAAGCGTGTTTTTGCTCCGCGCCCCCGCCGTTTTATTTCTTAAATCTCGCCCGCGCTACTGCAGGTCGAAGTTTTATTTATTAAACTTCGCCCTGCGTCCTCGCTCATAAGCGTGTTTTCGCTCCGCTCCCCAACCATTTTAACATGTTAATTCTCGACTTTTCGCTTGGCGGGGTCGCGTGGCGGAAACACGAATGGCACAAATCAGCAACCATAATCATCTATGTGCTCGGGTCAGAGCTGTATCAACTTTCTTTTAATAGCACGAACTAGATAAAAAATAAAGTTTTAAGCAAAAACCTTTATATCTACTCAATATCTGTACAACCCAACTGACTGTAATGTATCATAGATAACATTTTTTTCCAAATAAATATATCTAACTCCTTGCTAACTTGAGTATGTGTATATAACTTCCTGTTATGTAGCTTCGAGGATTTATAACTTATCTATATCGATCTATATCGATATCTACATCAGTGTTTGATGTATTTTTCCTATTTTCAATAATTTCAATTAACATGTTTGTTAAAAACCTTATTTTCCCTCGCCGAAAAGGCGGCGGGGGATATAGAAATAGTCTCCGTCTGTCCGTCCGTCCGTCCGACCTTCCGTCCGCCCGTCCGACATTTTTGTCTGGAGCATATCTCTAAAAGTATTTGAGTTATAAACTTTAAACTTCATAGGTGGATAGACCTCATTGAGGAGGAGTGCAGTGCACAAGAATGATAACTCTACCCTGCAAAATTTTTGAGTTATTGCCCTTTGTTATTTTTCACCTGAGTGGAGCAAAACTCAAAAAGTTTCTGAGATATCAACATGAAATGTCATAGTTGGATAGATCTTATTGAGGAGGAATGTTGTGCGCAAGAATGATAACTCTTCCCTATACAATTGTTGAGTTATTGCCCTTTGTTCTTTTTCATACTATTTTGTCCAGAGCTTATCTCAAAAAGTATTTGAGGTATCAACTTGAAACTTCATAGGTGGATGAATTTCATTGAGGAGGAGTGCAGTGCACAAGAATGATAACTCTACCCTGCATAATTGTTTAGTTATTGCCCTTTTTTATTTTTCAAAATTAATTTTTGTCCAGAGCATAACTCAAAAGGCCTTTGAGATACCATTATGAAACTTCATAGGTGCATAGAGCTCACTCAGGAGGTGTGCAGTGCACAAGAATGATAACTCTACCTTTTTAAATTTTTGAGTTATTGCCCTTTGTTATTTTTCATACTTAATTTTTCAATTCAATTTTTTTCTCAAAAAGTATTTGAGGTATCAACTTGAAACTTCATAGGTGGATAGATTTTACTGAGGAGGGATGCAGCACACAAGAATGATAACCTACCCTGCATTATTTTTTAGTTATTGCCCATTGGTATTTTCAGCCATCAGTATTCACATAGGTTTCAAATCTGTAATCACTATAGCCATCAGTTTTCATTACCAAAAGACCTCTTAAAATGGAATTATTCTGCTCTACTACATATACATTCTTCCAATGAGCAAACACATTCGGCGGGGGATGGCCATGTTGACATGGCTCTTGTTTACATTTAAATATGTGACTATGTCTTTTGTTTTCTTAAAATAATTTAATTTATTTCATGAATAATCTATTGCTTCAGCAATCAAAATACCGGTAGTGTTATTGTCAATAAAAGAACATTTTCAGTACTCATAAAAGTCATTAAGATGATTAAATTGTATACTAAAACAGAAAAACGGAGTATGATTGATCGGCATAACATGTTTGACATTCATAATTATGTTTGGAAGAAGTTTTATGTTACGCAATCAGCTGCAGTGTGGCATAATTTGTTATCAAAAGGAGGTTGTTATTTTCTTTTGATTAATTGTAATGTCCTCCCGAATTACTCAATAGGGCGAAAATCATGTCTCTCACCCATGTTGTATAATTTGTCGGGAAATTAGAATTTACTAGTGAGTTATCCAGGAAAGCCAGTAAGGTGGGTCTGATAAAAATGTATTAAAATCGGCGTAAAAACTAGACAAACAGATACTGCATTATTATATTGCAAGAGGTAAAGAAAAAGGTAACAATATGGAATGAAAATGCACAAAGTGTTTGATAATGTAATACTGTCAATTACAGTTTGTAAGTGCGTTACAAAAAGAGAGACATCTATCGAAATTCCATGATTTCTTTTGTTTTCATTAAGATAATTCGTAACACTGTACGTTATCATCAAGTTGCAACATACCTTTAAAGAATAAATGAAATGGCACATAGTGAATTGGTTAATGGAAGGTCTTTCAACAATTTAGGTGATAGTGTATCAAACATAACAACAAACCAATAATGAATTAAAATTGGATGTTTATTGTAGACATAATCCGATATGTGTAACATATATTAATTTAAAAGGTTTATTAAACTTATTTAACAAGAGCAAAATAACATTATTTATCTTATATTTTCATACTCAATCCCTTACAACTCTATCAACATTTTCTTTTCAAGCAATTCTTTATAAAAATTTATATCGCGTATATCAAGATTTGATTTACATATGGAAAAATGTGTCTAATCCACATTTTTGGAAAGGGTATGAAGACATGTCTCTTACAATGTCATCTGTCTTAAACATGTGACTGTTCACATCTTGTTTGTCACTATGTCAGTGGGTAATGATTGAATTTTCCGTGGCATATGCTCTCTCTTGATCTCAACCCCATAGAAGGCTAGGCATTTAAGCCAAAAATGAGACCATACCTAAAACAAATTCCTTCAAAAAAGATATTTCTATTATATATGTGTTGCTACAGATATAAAAGTCTTAAAAAAGTCGAAGTATAAAATGCTCAAAATGTAATGTATTGAAATCATATGATTTTTCAATCAGAAAAAAATGTTTGAATAAAAACAACTATTCATTACATTACAAAATGTGCAACACTGCATAATCTATACATTATCATTCAGACTGGTATAAAACATTATCCCACCCACTATAATAACCCCATTTTTTACTTTTTAGTCAAATAAATTTTAATATTATATAATTTAGCTTTATCAAGAATTGTAGTTGAATGAATCTTTCTAAAATGATATCATCACTCAACAATTCAGGAAATTTTTCACAAATTATTATTACTCATAAGTGACACTACAGAGTAAAGAGCTAGTTGTGGATATTACCCAGTTGTCCACTGTACAGTGACCTACTACTTTTCGATTCAAAATGAATCTCTTTGGCGTTGGAAATAAGAGTTTACCCTTCTTTATTATCCCTGGTGATGGAGTTCAAACCGTGGTGAGTGTGCTCATGTTATGCTATGTTTGTTTCACTACATGTTATATTACCATGTGTGTAAATTGTGCTAAACTAAAATCTTATATTGTCTCCAATATATAGAATCAAACAGTGTGTGCAATTTTCACTTACAGTTTTTTGTCTCCAACGCTCTCGAAGAATCTATAATTTTAATTTTATCTTGCATTTCACGATCATAAGCTAACATAAAACTTAGTGACAGCCTTAAGAAAACTCGCAGGCTGCTGCGTAAGGGGAAACACTCTTCTATCTAATGGTAAAACATTAAAAGACTGGCAAAGGATAAAACACATTTAGAATAAGGACTATATCAATTACAAGTTTCAAATAATGCATAACGAAACTGCCGAATAATGTTTAAATAGCTATTGATCGTCGTCACAATTGTGTATATTACTTCCTGTTTGTGATTCGTTGACATTCAGTAGGACGACAGGACAGTTATGGTATGTTACCTTTAAGGTTTTAAATTTAAATCAATCTTGCCATTTCTCAGATAATACTTAATTACTTAATTCTCAAAACTCTGACTGCATTTTAACCGTTGATTATATGTTTTGTTTCCTTGATATGAACGTTAATTTGAAATCGAAAGTTGAACAAATAAAATATTTGTAAATAATTTTTTTCCATAGCGTCGCTATTAATTGGTGTTAACATGCCAGGATTGATAAGTTATATAGCAATTAACATAGTTTTCTCGATTAAACCAAAAATGTTTTTCTAAAAATAATTTACCAAATATTAATCTATCATTTCAAAATTATAATGTAAATAAGTGACACATGAATGGCCTCAAATTTTGAAATGAATGCCTCTTAAATAATCAAATGTTATTATTACATATTTGATGAATATTTGCGCATTATAAGTTTTCTTGACACTTTTATTTGTGTCCTTTATTGTTTTCTCGTCTACGGTAAGTATCTTCCCTTTTGCCCCCAGTTTTATTTCTTTATTTCGCCCCCTTCCGAATTTCCTATCTCCTTCCCCTGTGCCCTTTTACTTAGTAGGCTATTAATCAATCATTGATTTTGATTTCCTTGTCGGTTACTATTAATTCTTTATATGTATCATTTCAGTGATAACCCTTTCCGTGCTCTCAATTGCGCCCTATCCTGTTTTTGTTTAGGGTCCTCCTGGGCTCCTTCTTTTATTCAATTGAAGAAAGTAATCAGAATCATACATGTACATTTATTTAATAAAGTAGGTATTTCGCCGAAAGATATATTTTTGGGTGATTTTTTATTGTACTTTTATTCGTCAAAGGTATGCTGCAACTTATTTTACAAGCTATGTAAATAGATATAAAATCCATAACTGACTCATACCGCAGTTTCAAAAATCACAACAACAATAACAAACAAAAATCACACACACTTTTAATGACTTTATAAACGGTTTTGAGGTTATCCCTGTAAACTCGTTTAAAGAAAAAAACTAACAAAACAAACATCGATATGGATAGTGTATACATACGAATCATCAGGTTCATGTTGGGAAAATTGCAATTAAGGAAAATTACCTAAATAAAAGAATTTCCCTCCTGCAGTAATACATGACTAAACGTAAAGTCTAATGAAGAATTCGGGATTATACTTAAGCGAGGCACTTAGCTGTGAGGAAAGGAAAAAAACATTATGAAACTAATCGAAATCATTGATTTAAAGTAAATAAAAAGAATTTGCAATCTATCATTTATTTGCTAAACAGGTTGCTGACAAAATACATATGATAATATCTAAATATCTTTCTGAGACGTCTTTTTATATAAAATTATGTAGAATATGTACATGAAGGTTCAACAGTGCATGAAGTCAACAGTTAATTAATGCTCCTCCGAATCTTAAAGTATTTCATTTTCACTGAACAAATTCATAGCATTAATTTCATCATCTCAGTTTATTTACGAGATTGTTAGTTTAAATGCATATACACTTTTGTCGGCCTTACATAGCTTTTTGTATCAGTTCGCGTCATAGAAATTCAATCAACAATAACATGTATTTTGTTAAATGTTAATTTTATCCCTTGTTCTTATTACATTCAAAGTATCTGTTTTCCTAGTGTTCCTTATGTATGTTGTATTGACCAAACTTCAAAAATTATATTTATACTGTGCATAGGTTTCCAAATCCCAGAAGACCACAAACAGACTTCTTGTTGGAGCGATAGACTTTGGAACGACTTTTTCCGGCTGGGCCTTTTCTTTTAAACATGACTATGATTCGGATCCGACAAAAGCAAAGACAAAACATTGGCAGTCGAGATCAGGAACATTAGTGACAGAAAAAACACCGACATGCGCATTGGTAAATCCTGATGGTAAAACATTGAAAGCATTTGGATACGATGCCGAAAACGAATATAGAGAATTACTTGATAAAGGCGAAGAAGAAAAATATTTCTTCTTTAAACGATTCAAAATGGAACTCTATTGTAAGATGGGCAAAGTACGTTTTTATATATCTTGATATTCTTTATCAATTTCCAAATATAAAGAAAATAACTATCCTATGCACGACTCCTCCTATAAGGATGTCAATCAATCATTCATTGAACGATCATCATCAAGTGCCGGTATGCATATTGTCGGGGTTTTGTGAAGCAATTACAATTGTCAGGAAACCCGATTGAACAGTTATTAATTCAATGCAGCTTTACTCAAAACAAAGGTCGTTAGTTGACAGTCGCAAAAGTTGATACTTAATCTTCACTACATCTCAGGGATTTTAGATTTCCTGTTCTTTTTTCTTATTTTTCTTCTATGTCATGACAACAATATTAGGACAATCAGAAGACAAATGAGTTGGTAATTACAATTACGTGTTTACGACCAGTTTGTCGCCCCCGTTAATTTCTTTTTTTTACTAACAAAATTATTGTAGTTTAAAGTTAAGTTTACATGTTTTTTGTTCTATGTCACAGTGTTGAATCAATATTTTTATTCATTCCAATTTGAAAAAAAGCCTTCATTAGATGTTTAAATACTAATCCAGGACTTAAAATGAGACTTGACAATCGAAGACGAATTTGGCAGACCTCTTTTAGCAGCTGATGTCTTTGGAATGTCAATCAAGTTCTTGGTAGATGACATGTTGAATAATGCTGGCAAGGGAATAGATGGCATAATTAAACATTCTGAAATTCACTTGGTTGTAACAGTACCTGCAATATGGTCCGATGCTGCTAAACAATTCATGCGTGAAGCTGCTGTTCAGGTAACAATGTAAACTTTATCGTGGACCTTTCTATTAGTTATTCTCATGAGCAAGAGCGTTTTGCACCCCGACTTCACTGCTTTCGAATGATAACATTTTATCAGAACTTAATGCTTAGTTAGCCAGTAAAAGTGAGGAAAATTACTCCAATATTTTCATCATTGAAAAAAAATCATGTTACATTAAAATCCGTATCAAAATAAAAGTGTGTTTCTTTAGATATTCTGCATAATCATCTATCATCTAAATCTAGAAAACGCTATGTGATCGGCACAAATTAGCATTCTGTTCTTTTGAACTTCATTTTAGTCATGTTAGCTAATAATAAATCGAACCATAATTGTTAATTACTTTCTTAGGGGCTGGTATATGTAAGGAACAACTAACAATCGCACTGGAACCCGAAGCGGCTTCGTTGTATTGCAGGCATGTTCATATCCATAAAACCTGGTGAGCATGGCAATGTATCAATGGACAAGTTTACCAATGGGCACCAAATACATAGTTGTTGATGCAGGAGGTACTGTTCTTTTTAAATATTATTGAATTTTTTCATTTTACCAGATTCATAAGGCGTCCATATATGCAATTATATTCAAATTTAAAAAAAAAGATATTTTTCTTACAACTGCTGATGATTTTTGTTACTATTAATAAGTCAGTGTTCTGTTACTGCTTGATATAGCTATAAGTTTAGCTTTTTGTATTGACGCTCTTTTACTTTAGCCACACAAAAAGCTGACGAGTGATATCATCTAAAAATTGTTCCGTTGTGGTGTACGTTGTGTTAACGTATTCTAAGTTTACTTGGATCATATACTTAAATTGAAAAGAATTATATATATATATACAAGGAGGAGAATCACGCCGTTCGTTACCCAAACAAACAAGATGGCGGATGCAGCCAAAAAGTAGGTTTTTTCCCTTTTTTCTCTGAAATTCGTGATGTTCTAATGTAAAGGTACATTATAACAACCTTCTAACACAATTTTCCTGGCACACAGGATGTTATTTCATTGATGTTTCGTCCCGTACTTCATCTGAAATGCGCGTCACCAGATTCGAAGCGAGAGAATTTTCCACCGGTTTGATCGTGGTAACGTACGGCTTTTTCTCTCAAATTCACTGTTTCTTTTACATATATGTATAATTAACTGAAACCACTGACTTAAAAAGTTGTAATATGTTGTCAAGTAAGCAATCATGCCAATCTGGCTAGATTTACTGCTGTAAATATTAATATCGGGGCATTTTCCGGAAATGATAACGTATGGCGCACATAATATCAATGATAACGTACGTCGCATTTTACTACTTGGTTGGATTTCCATTTGTCCAATCAGCTGATAATGAATTATTTTTTATGTAGGAAATGACAGATATCTGAAAAAATGTTGGTCCGGTCAAAAATAATTAATTGAACAATGCTGTACTATCGGAAATAAATATCTTTCTCGCTGGTGGCATAATATATATTCGTTGTTAATATACCAATTAAAACACACGTGTATAGTTTGAGAATATTTTGTATAAAATGCAGAATGGGAAGAAAAGTCTCCACTTTAAGGAAACATTTGTGTGTTGTTGTCTTTACATTAAATTTCGCCAGTGTTGTGCGATAATTATGGTCTTATTCCCCTTATCGCAAAGAAGAAACGCATTCAGCATAGCAAAAGTGTTATAAATGTACGGACGGCTTGATATATTTTCTTTTCCAAAAAAAAAAAGTCTAAAATCATTCCTAACAAATTTCTGATAAGGAAATCTTAATATTTGAACCCGTCAACATTTTACAAACGAAAATTGATGGCGACTAGCTTACACCCAGATGAGATGAGCCTGTGTTTTATTCAATCTGGTCGCTCATTGAAAGAAAAATACATAACAGAGAAAAATGAATGAATGTAGGTTCTATAATGAGTTTATTGAATGAGTTAGAAAATAATGTTATGCAAAAAAACTTAAATTGAATTTAGTAAATAAAAAAATTCTGTTTATTAGACGGCCGGTTAATATTGAAACGCTACCATTTAGCGTGACGTTGTGCCACTATGGCGTCAGATATAATTACGCGACATAGCCTCACAGGTTTTTTTTTTATTATAGTAGACAGTAGACATTTTATTTTATTCCATTTGGCTTTAAAGCCGATGAGGGCATAAAACATGCATAATAACGAACAGTTCATATAAAATTGTAAACCCTTTTCCCTCATGAGCATATTGTGAAAAATGGTCGTTTTCATTGAAAAGCCTCCTGTTACAAGTTCAAACTGCTATGAAACTTTGAAAAAATGTTTCAATACTAATCAAACTTGGCACAAATGTTGACTGGACCATTGCCTTTGTAACGACATGCTCAGTCTAAAATTTTCCTGTTACCATGGCAACATGGGGACATCTCAAAATTGCCATAAATCACTATTTTGCCTTGAGTTTTTTTTCATCAAAATTTATTTCAAAAGTGCTGCAACTTCTCAAGGGATTGAGATAGAGTCAAAGGCTTTTCAGCGTTGGTTACACGTTTCCTTATGATCGACCTGGGGTCATTTTTAGCCTCTCGCAAGTCCAAAATTTTCTTGGCGATGAGGGGGACTACCGCCCCTCTTCAAACCCCCCAAACAGAAGGGGGGACATCCCCCTTCTGGCAACCCCCTGATGTATCTTTTGGATGGTGGGGGCGCCGAAAAAGTGCTCACTTTTTTTTTAGCAACGTTTCTCAAACAAAAAATGTGTTTGGGGTCCAAAAAAGGACATTTTTTCACTCAGGCCTAAAAGGGGGGTCGAAAGTTTAATGTTTCGCGTATATATGAGGTAAAGGGTAAAATACCAGCCGAAATTTTTCTGAAGGAGTTACATAATGAACATTTTCAAAATTGATCTTTAAACCAGTAACTTATAGGTCTCTTGTATTTACATGTACATACACACGTATACATGTACATACATACAAAAAGCATACATTACATGAACTATTAATGCAAAATTGTTGTATATAAATCGATTTTTAACACAGAAACGCAATTACCGTTGTTTATACATATATCCTAAAAAATGAAGGTCCCTTCGCATCAATTGCGGATTTCATAATTGTAAATTAAAAGGAACGTCATAAGTTGATCAAAACAATTACATGCAAGAATTTGCCTATCATTTTCTGGCGTTTTTTTCCACAAACGCCCCAAACAAAACAATAATTTCTTTAAAAAAAAGTATTGCAGGTATCAGCAATAAAAAAGTGACATTGGAATTTGCTTATTAATTTCTAGTGTTAATTATGAAGTTTCAAATCGTATTTGGATTTCGATGTTTTTATCCAAGCCGGAAACCCGTCTGAAACCTTTAATGCCAGACTTCATGTGCTTAAATGGACGTCATTGAACGATTTTTAAAAAATTATTACGCTACTCTTAATCTATTGTTTACGAAAGTATATGTAAGTGTTCCATTCCGTGTTGTTCTATTTTCGACGGGGACGATAGCGACCGGAGAATATTTCTTTATTTCTGTAGAACAGCTACGGATTGAATACAAAACATACTTAGTGTCAAGCTTTATTTGGCTTCATTAGTATTGATTTATTTCATCACTATATCTGTCCATTTGCACAAACGCGGTTCTATGAAGTACTATGAAAAATAAAAGGGCTGTTATGAACGGACTTTGATATATCATCGACTTTTGTTCTTTCTATTCTATGAAAATTTACACACATTTTTTTAAGAAATACAACGCTTTCAAATTGGATGACAAATAAAGGCTGGACCACTAATATTATTTATTTCAGTTTCTTAATTTGGTTTACACATCCACTTATGTCTTGTAAACATAACTTTTCTATTATAAAGAAAATCAATTAATCAGAAAAAAACGCGCCGTACGTTATCATTGATATTTTGTGCGCCATACGTTATCATTTCCGGAAAAAATGCCCCGATATTAATATTTTACAGCAGTAAATCTAGCCAGAATTGGCATGATTGCTTACTTGACAACATATAACAACTTTTTTAACTCAGTGGTTTCAGTTAATATACATATATGTAAAAGAAACAGTAAATTTTGAGAGAAAAAGCCGTACGTTACCACGATCAAACCGGTGGAAAATTATCCCCGCTTCGAATCTGGTGACGCGCATTTCAGATGAAGTACGGGACGAACATTATGAAATAACATCATGTGTGCCAGGAAAATTGTGTAGAAGGTTGTTATATGTACCTTTACATTAGAACATCACGAATTTCAGAGAAAAAAGGGAAAAACCTACTTTTTGGCTGCATCCGCCATCTTGTTTGTTTGGGTAACGAACGGCGTGATTCTCCCCCGTGTATATATATATGTGGTAATAATTTAAAACTTGCTATAACTTATTGTTTTAGGCATTGAATAAATAATTGTTTTTTTAAAGAAAGATGCATAAATTATTGAACGTTAAGGGCTCGTCTTTGCTTGTTTCCAAGTCTAGAAACAAGAAAATGTTGTTCTTTGGCATTGATAAAAACAGAAGTGAAGCATATACATGATATATGTGCAATGAAACTTAAATGAGACAATGTTCTCCTGAAATGAGCAAAACATGAACGTTTAAAACTTACCTGTGAACATTAAAATTATAGTGGTTTGAACTTTATGACATTTTATCGATGGTAATCATAATTATGTGAAAAAAAACAAATTTTTTTGTTTAATTATTTTCTCTAGGTTTGGAACAATAGACATAACAGTTAACAACGAGACAGGGAAAGTAGGCATACATTGAGAGAAGTAAAATCCTGCAAGTGGTGGCATTTGGGGAGGTATAAATGATTTGAACCCAAGGATTTGAAAATTTTTGCTTATACATAATAGTAGGACAAACTGTTTTTTGAAAAATTCAAACACGAAGAAAAAGGAGGATTGGCTTGAATGCAACGAGACTTTAGTCACGGAAACGAGAAGACGATTTTTAGAACAATTGAAGGTAAAGTAAGGGAATGAGAAATTACCTGCATCACTAATTGATTTTTACAATCAATACTCCACAACTTGACCTCTCTACTTCAAATTAGCATCCCTCTCAGTATGCAAATCTGATTGAGCTTAAAAGGGACAAGATGAAGATTTCTAACAAAGTCTTTGTTCAACTATTTGACCCGTCAGTGACAAAGACTGTTGGTCATTTGAAGTCGTTGCTGTCCGACGGTTCACTGAAAGATGTAAGAGTTTTGCTTTATGGTTTTGGTGGTTATTCTGAATCACCCGGTGTTACAACATGCAGTATTAGAAGCATTGGGCCGGGAACTGAAGTCGTTATACCTGACGGCGCTTCATCGGTCGTATTAAGAGGTGCCCTAATATATGGACATAATCCTTCATCAATAAGTGAAAGGATTCTCAAGTATACCTACGGCACTAGTCACACACCAATTTTTGTAGAGGGAGTTCACCCAGAGTGCAAACGATATGAAGCTGATGACCATAGTATTAGATGTCGTGATGTCTTCAGCAAACTTGCTACTATCGGGCAAAGCGTGAAAATGGGAGAAAACACAAGTAAAGAAAACATATACTACAACTTTCCAGTAAGAACAAAGGTGTATGCTGTTTTGAAATAATTTGCTTCAGAAGAGAAAATGAACCCGGTTACATTGATGAGTGACCCGGAATGCTTTAAGATAGGAGTCCTAAAAGGTTTGAGGGTTTGATGAGGGAAGTATTACAAGCGAGAAAAACCCCGGTTTCACTGTCTAATGTTATTTGGCGGGACTGAAATCAATCGTTGAAGGGAAGACGAACGTACCGGTAAGAAGAAAATAACATCTGTTTGACTTTCCTTGGGTAAATATATTTAAAACATTTTTCGAAAGGAGAATGAATAAAAAAGAGAAAAAAAAAAGAGTGTATAACGTTTACAGCAAGGCTGTTTGATATATATTTTAAAGAGCAGCAATTTTTGCTGTAATATTTGTCTTGTCATTCGGTATATTTTTTTTCCAGCATATTGGAAGATATTGAATAATACTTAAACCGGTTGTTTCTATGGCGATTGACAGATGTCGCAGCTTTTCTTCCATTATTACTCATGACAAAATTTTTTCATACTCAGTCTGCAATTTTCAAGTTGATTCCATTGCTTCCGAGGGATTGCGCATTTTCCGGATTTTAATAATCATCACAAATGGATGTAATTTCTATTCGCCCTTATATAAAGTATTCATTTATTTATATGAGTCTCAATAACATATATGTATAAATCAATCAATGTACTATACAAGATAAGACAATGGCATAAATAGCATATATGAAACCTATTAAATACTAGATTTACTAGAGAATACTATCAACTATTTATATGCACAAATCGATCGACATTTATGAGTATGTTTAAATTGTTATTGATACACATAGTAGTGTAGGAAATGAACTAGTAAATCATGCATATTTTGGGGGTCAACCAGTCTATGTCTAGGAACAGTAAGTTTTATATACCAAAATGTTCACAAGGGTTCGTAGAATACGAAACGATATTTCATTTTAACCCAAATGGTCGGACAATTCAAGAAATCCAAGAAATGGGCATCCAAAAGATGGCCGCCAAAATTCCTCAAAAACAAGTAATTATCATTAATTGGCCAATGTTTTCAAGAATTTCAAAGTTAACTTTTGTCTTCACATATCAAATATGATAGGAAAATACATGTTACCGTAAAGTTAAATTGTTTTTGTCCACTTTTATGTGAGAAATATAAAATATTTGAAAGAATATCATGGCAAATGTATAAAAAAAAACCTAAAAATTAAATTTTATATTATAAATTTTTTCATTTCCATGACAACATATTTCAATTTTTATTTCCATATTGTACTTTTTTGCCAAGAGTACAACTTCAACTCTTATCATTTATGACAATTTTAATGTTTATTGACATTTTTCTTATGGACGCATTTATGATTTTAAACGGGTGGGGTATAATTAAATTCAGCTGAAAAATTTACATCTCTAAAATTGCGTCTAATTCTTATGATTGAATGCCCCAAATTATTGGGTTTTTTTCACGTAAGACTTTCTTGTTTTCTCTGAAATAAATACAAAATGTGATGTTTAAAAATACATTGAAATTTCCATCAGTTTTCATGGTTGCCATGGTAACATGTTATAGAAAATAGGCTAAATCTTTCCTTTAAAGATATTTTTGCAACTTTACAAAATATATATATACATCATAATCACAATACTTTTCAAATGACATTCTTAATTGACCGTGGTTATAACAATAAGTATAAAAATCAAAAAAATTCATTCCCTTGATGATACTTTGCTTTTTAAAATAATACTGTGTCGGTGTGACGTAAAACCCAGTCAAACAAATAAAATAATAATACTGCAGACAATTTTTGTTTAAATAAAGACGATGCTTAGCTGTTAAAGGTTACAAAAAATATAAATCCAACTTAGTTTTACTCTTTTTTTTTACTTCATCATTATGTATATAATGACATTTATTGCAGGATTTGTTTAAATACAGTTTCCACATGCATATTTTAAAGAGGTTTCATAGAACTCGGATATGATTAAATTTGGATATGTCTAAAATCAAAGCCACATTTACATCCTCTCTCAAATTGCATTGTAATTATACAATGTTCTTTAAGAGAATTAAGAACTTAAGATTTCATTTTTGTGTATATTCAGACTTCAGTGTTCCACGTTTTTTTGATGTTTTGGGCAGGTCAGTCAAAATGTTTTGTAAGGATCCACGAACAGAACACAACACTTATTTAGTAACTGTTTTTGTTTTTACCAATATTGTTTTATATTATGTGGATATTAAAATCATTTGACAAACTTATCCAAATTACCACTTTCAACTTTGAGCAAGACGTCACCTAAATTTCTTAAATATATTTCAAAATTCAAATCTAGAAGCAAATTATGTAATAATGACATTTAATGTTCAGCATTTTACCAATATTTCTGAGAATTTTGGTACGAATTTTGATACAGAAATTTTCTTAACTGTCTTCACTTAGAGCGCTTACATACATGTATAAGAGAACTTGACACACTATTTAGTGGTGAATTAATATTTTTAACTTCTTAAATTGAAAAGGAATAAGAGTTGTGATCTTAACAACTACAATTTTTATTGATGCTTAAGAGTTTATTTCTACGGTGGCACAAAGGTGACATGTGTGTGTTTTTTATTTATCTCGTGGCCACAATATACTATGTCAAGGCCACGAGTTACTAAGTCGTGGCCACGAGATAGCTAAGTCGTGACCACGAGATACTATGTCGTGGCCACTAGTTACAAAGTCGTGGCCACGAGATAGATAAGTCGTGTCCACGAGATACTATATCGTGGCCATGGATTACTAAGTCAGATTACACCATTTATTTGAATTTCCCTTATTAACTAGGCGTGTGTTATAGTACAAGGATGCCCCTACTTTTCCAGCCTGTAAAAGTGCCACTTATTCAACTTTATTGAATGTTCATTAATTTTACATTTAGCATCACTGAGACCCTAATTTTTGGCCCAATGACCTCGAAATTATTAGATGCCATCTACTGATCAGGTGCAATGATCTTTCTGGGTTATATAAACCATGGCTTATCCCTTCTAAATTATTCATCAGACAAGGATTTTTCCTAATAGGCTATCTACTGTCCATGGGCAATGTCCTTTCCAAATTAAGGAAGGTGACTTTCTAATATGATCCTAAAGACAAGTTCAAAGTGAATATCTTAAGTATTTTCAAAGAATAATGTTGCTTGTAAAAGTAAGTTGTTAAGTTTAAAAAATTCATAATATATATATAGTGTATTTCTGATTGATTAATTATCTCGTCGCCACGACTTAGCTATCTCGTGGCTACATCTAAGTAACTCGTGGCCACGACATAGTATCTCAAGCCCATGACTTAATTATCTCGTCGCCACGACTTAGCTATCTCGTGGCTACGACTTAGTAACTCGTGGCCACGACATAGTATCTCAAGCCCATGACTTAATTATCTCGTCGCCACGACTTAGCTATCTCGTGGCTACGACTTAGTAACTCGTGGCCACGACATAGTATCTCGTGGCCATGAGATAAATAAACACACACACACGTCACCTTTGTGCCACCGTAAATATCTATTGTAAATGTACTTACAAAATATTTTCATTGTTGTTACGAAATTGGATTTACAAATTGTGCAAAAATAGCACTATCTATATGGACTCTCGGTTCGGATTTCGCGAGGGCCATTATACTAAGTATATGCAATCTTAATTCTTCACTCAGTGATACAAAAAGCCCGTTTGTCACTTCTAAACTCTGGTGTATATTTATTGATTATGAAAAAGCGTTTGATACAGATATTCGCGACGCTCTTTGGAAACAATAACTTAATTCAGCTATTAGCTTTAAGATGATCTCCATGATTAAAACAATTTTAGTAAAGTAAAAATGTGTCTAATCTAATCCAAATATGCAATTTCCGATATTTGTTTCATGTCACCACAGGCCAAATGCGAGGGGAGTAACATTCATTTCTCCTTTGTTGTTTTATTTTTTTTTTTAAATGATACCACTAATAATGTAGATCTTTACAGTATGAAGTAAAATGACTGTATTATGCATCCAGTGTACCTCATTTTGTTTGCAGACGATATTGTACTCTTTATCAGTCAGCTTACAAGTTAAATCAAAATATGTTACATCCCTACCCCTACTAAACATTGGCTCTTTCACATGTTGTTGATTTATTTATATGATAGCCATAAACGCTGAAAAAGATTAACATATTTTCTAAAAATATCCGACTTTAAAAGAATATGCTCGTTTGTTTTTTAAAAATCGAAAACTGCTATACCATACAGAACATTTTTCTCATCATTTTGTATGCAATATCGATACGAAATACCCAAACATGAAGTTGCAAGAGTTTTTGTCAAAAATCAACTCACATGTTTTCCTTTACAAGGAGACAAAGTTACATTAGTTAATATAAATTACTTTCATCATGTTCATAAAATGTTTAAAGTGTGGCATAATTTTGCCAAAGCAATTCAACACGATGTTAAAGTTACTGTAAACATTGAACAAAAGGATGAATGGTTGACGTACCAGACCGGCGAAAACCAATATAAGAAAACACATTGAATAACCAAGTTCCAAAAGACAAATATTAATTATTTAGTTTAAAGACGCATTTTTGCAAATAAAGAATTCTACACATAGGAAATCATTAAAAATAACATTAGTTTTTTTTCTCTTGAAAGTCCAATTAGTGATGAAGAAGTAATTGAAAATGGCACATTTTATACTTTTTACAGATTTACGAATATAGCAGATACTATCTCAAACAATTTGAAGATTCTTTTTTTTTTAATTTAACCATGAACATCAATTGGCATAATTGCACAAACCTATTCTTACTGAATGGTTGGGTTGGCACCATCACATTTCTGATTGCGCAAACACCATATCGGTGGCTCCATCACATTTGAATTTACTGATTTACCTTTTCTTACTTTAATATATCTCATAATTTTATATTCATAATCTTCATTTCTTCAAGTGATAAGCGTGTTACATGCTCTAAAACAATTATTTAAACAACA